GAGTATGTTACAGAACTAGGATACATTACCTCGGAGTAGGTTGCAGGACAAGTACAAATGGTCGATCTCATACAAGGGATTAGGTTACAGAACCAGGATACAGGATCTGTCCCATACAAGAAGTAGGTTACAGAACCAGGATACAGTATCTATCCCATACCTGGAGTAGGTTACAGAACCAGGATACAGTATCTATCCCATACCTGGAAATGGTTACAGAACCCAGGATTCAGGGTTTATACAATAAGTAGGTTACAGAACCAGGATACAGTATCTATCCCATACCTGGAGTAGGTTACAGAACCAGGATACAGTATCTATTCCATACCTGGAGTAGGTTACAGGACTAGGATACAGGATCTATCCCATACCTGGAAATGGTTACAGAACCCAGGATTCAGGGTTTATACAATACCTGAAGTAGAGCTAGAACCAGGATACAGTATATATCTAATACCTGGCGTTGGTTACAGGACAAGGATACAGGATCAAAAACAAACCTGGAACAGGTTTCAGAACCAGGATACAGAGTCCATGCCATACCTGGAGTTGGTTACATAACCAGAATACATACTAAATTCCATAACTATTGTGGGTTACTGAACAAAGATATCGGATATATTCTATTCATGGAGTAGGTTACAGAAGCATGATACAGAAGTTATCCCATTCCATGAGTAGGCTAAAAAACCAGGATACAAAATCTATCTCTTACCAGGAGTAGATATAGGGACAGGATTCATCTAATATCTGTAGTAGGTTACAGAACTAGGATACAGTATCCATACCATACTTGGAACAGGTTAGTGGACCAAGACATCTTACATTGAGATGTTAAAATAACCGTACTTATAGGATATAGTATTTATTCCACGACCTGGAATAGGTTACAGGTCTAGGATTCAGAATATATTTCATTCCTTGAGTTGATTACAGAACGGAATACAGAACGTATGGGATTCATAGATTCATCCAGAATCTAGAATCTAGGGTTAGGCTCCAGGATCTAGGATCCACAGGATCTAGGATCCGCAGGTTCTAGAATCCGCAGCATCTAGGATACACAGGATTTAGGAAACACAGGATCTAGGATCCGCAGGTTTTAGAATCCGCAGGATCTAGGATACACAGGATCTAGAATCCACAGGGTCTAGGATCCACAGGATCTAGGATCCACAGGATCAAGGATCCACAGGATCTAGGATACACAGGATTTAGGATCCACTGGACCTATGATCCACTGGACCTATGATCCACAGGATCTAGGATCTAGGATCTAGGATCCACAGGATCTAGGATTCACAGGATCTAGGATCCACAGGATCTAGGATCCACTGGACCTATGATCCACTGGACCTATGATCCACAGGATCTAGGATCTAGGATCTAGGATCTAGGAGGATAACTTATAAAAGATATGTGACACATGATAAAGAACGCAGAAAATACTTAATTTACTATAGAAGATACAGAGAACATGATGAAGGACACAGGATACACAAAACAGCGTATATGGAAACAGTTTACCAATAAAAGAGATACAAAATATAGAATACAGCATACTATGCACAATAAACAGGGTCAGATACTGGATACATGTGCACATGATATAACAAGGTCAGAATACTAGATAGATGTGCACATCATACAAGGTCTAGCTACTGAATGAAGGATACGGAACATGATACAGGGTCTGGATACTGAATGAAGGATACGGAACATGATACAGGGTCTGGATACTGATTGAAGGATACTGAACATGATACAAGGTCTGGATACTGAATGAAGGATACTGATCATGATGCAGGGTATGTCTGGATACTAAATGAAAGATACTGGTACACGTGATAGAAGATACGAGGAAACAGGCTAAAGATAAAGGTGTCGAGATCTAGAAAATATTATATAGACTGCGGGTCCAGTTTCTAAGATGAAGAAAAATCTTAAAGATCGAAATATATTAGAACTCTCAAGATCCAGGGTTCTTGTTCAAGAGCAGTCATTTTATCCTTTAAAGGGGCAGACTGCAGGGTGTCTCAGAACAAACAATAACTATAAATATACAGCAAGTAACCCTCTATTCGCAGAACCTGTACATTGATAACCCCCATACAATGTATTAAAGTAATATCTATGTTAAATATTCGGAGGAATACACTTTTTCTTGATATCGATAATATGCCGCATACACATATAGGATAGATATAAAATATTGAGAAACAACTTTCATAAAAAAGTTGGGAAGAATTTGCACTTGATGGCGGATGGAGGGGAGGAATAGAAAGAAATTAGAATAAAAACATATGAGCTTTTAATTTGGACTCATCAGTAACGTAAACAAGGGGGGGGGGGGCGTTTCCCCAGGGATGGCAGAAATGTGCCCCCCCCCCCCCTGTCATGTAATTGATATATTGTATATACATTTTAAAATCGATTTCAAGTTCTTTATTAAAGGTTGCTTAATCGGGTAATTTGTTTCAATGCAAATATTCCAACTCACACATCTGAGTCCCCCCGGCCCCCTTCACTACCATTCAAATCCTTTCTACAACTAAGGAATTAATGCTCACAATTCAGGATGAAAGTTCGTGTTTATTATTGTTGTTAAGCATGAAGCATAAAGGAATAGGGTTTTTGCCACAAACTCAAATTTTCTAATCCTTATATCTTTGCAACCAGATGGCTTAAAACCGATGATATTTCAAACTAAGATTATTTGATCTAACAGAACTCATAGTTTGAAATATAAAGTTATAGGACATTGGGTTGCAAAGATATAGGGAGAAACAGTTAGAGTTTGTGGCAAAAACCCATTTCCTTTAACCCTATTCCTGCTGGGGGGGGGGGTCAATTTGACCCCCCCCCTGTAGTTTTTTTTACATAGTCCGTGACATACTACTCTTAGCTTTAAGAAAAAATACTATAATTACATGGACTGCAAGATTATAGCTAGTATAGTTATATAAAGTGCTAGATTACATCTAATAAAGTTACAAGGACTGCTAGATTACAGATACTAAAATTACATGGACTGCTATATTACAGATACTATAATTACAAGGACTGCTAGATAACACATACTATAATTACACGGACTGACTAGTATAGTTACATAGAAAGCTAGATTACAGCTAATATAGTTACAAGGACTGCTAGATTACAGATACTAAAGTTACATGGACTGCTATATTACAGATACTATAATTACAAGGACTGCTAGATAACACATACTATAATTACACGGACTGCAAGATTATAACTAGTATAGTTACATAGAAAGCTAGATTACAGCTACTATAGTAATAAGGACTGCTAGATTACAGCTAACATAGTTACATGGACTGCTAGATTACAGATACAATTTTTACGTGGACTGCAATATTTCAGATACTATTGTTACATGGACTGCTAAATTACAGATGCAATAGTTAAATGGACTGCTAGATTACAGCTACTATAGTTACATAGAGTGCTATATTACAGCTAATATAGTTACGAGGACTACTAGATTACAGCTAATCAAGTTACATATAGAGTGCTAGATTATAGCTAATATAGTTACATATATAGAGTGCTAGATTACAGCTACTATAGTAATATAGACTGCTAGATTACAGCTATATAGTTACATGAATTGCTAGATAACAGATACTATAGTTGCATTGACTGCTAGATTACAGCTACTACAGTTACAAGGACTGCTAGATTACAGATACTATAATTACATAGACTGCTAGATTACAGCTAATTTAGTTACATTTAGAGTGCTAGATTATAGCTAATACAGTTACATAGACTGCTAGATTACAGCTACTATAGTTATATAGACTGCAAAATTACAGCTACTATAGTTACATGGACTGCTAGATTACAGATACTGTAGTTACATGAACTTCTATATTTGAGCTACTATAGTTACATGGACTGCTAGATTACAGATACTATTTTCAAATGGACTGCTAGATTACAGGTAAATAGTTACTTGGACTGCTAGATCACAGTTACTCTAGCTACGTGGACTGCTAGATTACTGATAATTTATAGTTACATTGACTGCTAGATTACAGATACTAAAGTTACATGGAATGCTATATTACAGATACATAGTTACATGGACTGCTAGATTACAGATACTATATATACTTGGACTACTAGGTTACAAATATTATAGTTACATGGTCTGCTAGATTACAGCTACTTAATATACATGGACTGCTAGGTTTCAGCTACTATAATACCAAGGACTGCATGAACTGTTAGTATACAGTGTTGTTGTACATATCTAATACACAATGATTAATATATGTGTACTACTTCTTCATCATTATATATTATAAAGAATAGTATGGAACTTCTTAATAGTTCGGGCCACACAATATTCGTATTATGTTTGATAAACTACTATATTAGGTGTTTATTGTATACCATAATACCGGTACAATTGAAACTCGTTTAATATGACAACTCTTTTTGTAAATTATTGAAATTTGAAATTATTTGTTTAAATCCTAACCAGAACAGGGACTGAGTCTGCTTACAGTCTCATATCATGGAATTATGATTTTATGTAGAAATAACAGGTCGGTTTCTAGATAGACTCCTGAACTTTATATACAGAAGTAACCAGTCGGTTTCTAGATAGACTCCTGAACTGTATATACAGAAGTAACAGTTCTGATTCTAGATAGACTCCTGAACTGTGTATACAGAAGTAACAGGTAGGATTCTAGATAGACTCCTGAACTGTGTATACAGAAGTAACAGATCGGATTCTAGGCCCGGGACATTTTCAAGATTCTTTAACTGGGATATTTGTTCATTTAATCCAGTATAAGAGTATAGCAGTATAGTAGGATAGGAGGAGAGGAGGAGGGGAGATCAGTCTCTATCAGAGTATTTCCGTCCTTCAGTCTCAGTCTTCAAAACAGAAAACAATCCGAAAAATTAAATCATTCATTCAGAGCTTAAAAGAACTAATGGAACAATTACTTTCAGATAATCACAATGTCACGAAAGTAAGATGCTTTGATAAAAGTCAGGTTACAGTAAAGTAAGTTGGATAAATTTGTCAGTGACATTCAAGACTAAACATAGCAATTTGCAAATTACAACTTGAATTCACTGTTTCAGTTTAAATGCTCAATAAGAGCAAACCAAGCTCCGACTCCGACTTGGGAGCTAAACCTAGTCCTGGACCCGGAGCAAAAGATGCTCACGGTTCTATAAATGAACCCAGAGTAAAACCCAGACCAGGAGCTAAAGAAACTAAAAAAACAAGTGAAATGAACATACTAGAAGACGAATACAGCAAACATAAGAAAATAAATGAATCTGGATCCTGGATAAAAAGAGGAAAAGAAGATGAAAGAGAACTTGGAGAAAATGAGAATGGAGAAACTCCTAAACTTATAAACTCAAGTTTTACGATGAAGATTTTAGATCCAGTGCTGGCTGAAGGAACTTTTCTTGGTTCAGGCTCAGGGCTAACATTGGGAACTTCTGTCAAGGGTCCTAAGAAGGAGAGGAAGGGAAAGATCCAAGTAAAGACGACCTCTCTCCAAGGTGTGAGAGAGCAGAGAGGTCCAACTTGTAAGCTTGATATGTACAATAAGGGAGGTCAACAAAACCTTTATTAAAAGATTTGAAACCTTTGTGTCCTGTATAAATTGGTCCCAATGGGGGTATATCAACGCCTTGTTTGCTCTCTGTGACACAAAACAATATAATCAAACATTATTAGAAAACCTAACTCTAGCTCTACACACTCAAATATTAAGCAATCCAAGGAAAAGGAATTCAGTCTTTGTAACAAACTCTGATTTGCTAATACCTATATTTTTTCTACCTGATGGTGTAAACCTTTGATATTTCAAACTTAGATTTTTTCATCTAACAGAATTCATGGTTTGAAATATCTAAGGTCTACGGCATTGGATTACAAAGATATAGAGATTATAAAATCATAGTTTGTGACAAAGACTCAATTCATTTATAATAATTCTAATTTTACCTATTGTTGACCCCCTGTATAGTTTCAACCCTGGGTTCTATCGACCTATGGTGACTCCGCTAAAACTAAAACTATTACAAGAAAGAAAGCCGCAAGGTTAGTTTATGCCTTTAAAGGGACTGTAAACGTAGTTTAAAGGTTAATGTTCAAGGGGACCTTTGCTAATCGAACATGCCCTCTTTTTAAATAGATGGGACCTGAAATACCTTAGAGAGTAGACAATACGTCATCGCAAACTTGTCCTTTGTGTATGTTCGTGAAATTTGAATCTCCCCTTCAATTTGAAACCTTCATCTCAGAAATATTACAGAGACCGGTTGTGAATCGATTACTTCACGTTAAACTGACATTCCTTTTGACTGCTTTGAAAACCCTCTTTAAAATTGCCGGATTCTAAGTTTCTTTCATTTCGAGGTTAAATAATTTTTATTCAAAATATTATAAATTATATTTATTCTTTAGTAAACAATTCCCGAGACAACTGCCGTCTTTGGGAATCATTCTTCTCTTTAAAATAAACATTTCTCTTCAAATTATTTTCATTTTTCATCTGAAATTTCTGGTGACAACATTTATGCAAATTCAGGAACATTCCCCAAACTCCACAGACTTAGCTTAACCTAGTCTTCATATCATTTAACACATTTTCTTTTCTTATTCTCCACCCCCCCCCTCCCTTTCTTTGAAATATTTCACCATATCTTTTATTATTCTTTGTCCTTTTGCACATTTTCTTTTCTCATTATTCTTTTTCCTTTCCACATTTTCTTTTCTCATTATTCTTTTTCCTTTTTCACATTTTCTATTCTTATTATTATTCTATTTCCTTTTTCACATTTTCTTTTCTTATTATTATTCTATTTCCTTTTTCACATTTTCTTTTCTCATTATTCTTTTTCCTTTTTCACATTTTTTTTCTTATTATTGTTCTATTTCCTTTTCACATTTTCTTTTTTAATTATTATTCTTTTTTGTTTTTCACATTTTCTTTTCTCATTATTATTCTATTTCCTTTTTCACATTTTCTTTTCTTATTATTATTCTATTTCCTTTTTCACATTTTCTTTTCTTATTACTATTCTATTTCCTTTTTCACATTTTCTTTTCTTATTATTATCCTATTTTCTTTTTCACATTTTCTTTTCTTATTATTATTCTATTTCCTCTTTCACATTTTATTTTCTCATTATTTTCCCCCTTTCTTTGAAACATTTCACATTTTTCATCTATATTTCCCCTAATTATTTAAAGTTGTATCCGAATCGTCACGCATTTTTATTCAGATGCCTACTAAGTATTACACATTTTCTCAAATTATTTCTTTTTAGCTTTCTTCAAAATGTTTTACATTTTCTTTTATAGTTTCTCCTACTTATTTCGAACTTTTTTATATAATTTTAACAGTTTCACATTTTTATATTTTATATTTTTTTCATCATAGTTTTAAGGTTTTCTCCAGATTATTACACATTTTCTAGTTTCTTATTTTCTTCTTCCTTTCTTAACAAATTTTCGCTTGTTCTTTTTTAATTTCCTCCTCCTTATTTCGTTTTTTATTCCAAAATATTTGTTTTATTATTTCGTTTTTTATTCCAAAATATTTGTTTTATTATTTCGTTTTTAATTCCAAAATATTTGTTTCATTATTTCGGTTTTTATTCCAAAAATATTTGTTTTATTATTTTGTTTTCATTCCAAAATATGTGTTTTATTATTTCGCTTTTTATTCCAAAATATTTGTTTTATTATTTCGTTTTCATTCCAAAATATGTGTTTTATTATTTTGTTTTCATTCCAAAAATATTTGTTTTATTATTTTGTTTTCATTCCAAAATATGTGTTTTATTATTTCGCTTTTTATTCCAAAATATTTGTTTTATTATTTCGTTTTCATTCCAAAATATGTGTTTTATTATTTCGTTTTTTATTCCAAAATATTTGTTTAATTATTTTGTTTTTATTCCCAAAATATTTGTTTTATTATTTTGTTTTCATTCCAAAACATGTGTTTTATTATTTCGTTTTTTATTCCAAAATATTTGTTTTATTATTTTGTTTTCATTCCAAAAATATTTGTTTTATTATTTTGTTTTCATTCCAAAATATGTGTTTTATCATTTCGTTTTTTATTCCAAAATATTTGTTTTATTATTTCGTTTTATTTTTATTCCAAAATATTTGTTTTATTATTTCGTTGTTTCTTTATTTTCTATATTTTTCACTTAATCGTTTTTATTTTTCTGCTTTTTAAAAAATATTTCGCATTTTCGTCAATACTTTTTCTCTTTATTATTTCAAACGTTTTTTCTTTCTGAAACGAATCAATTCCTTTAAAAAAATGTTAGCAAAAACAAAAATGTCCAAAAAAGATCAAATATACATTTTTGAAAATCCCTTGACCATGCCATTTCAAAAATATTTGCAAAATATTAGATAACCTGATGGGTAATCAAGAAAAACTATAAATGCGCACATTTCTTTTTGGTTGTATGCAATTTACTTTCAAAAATGTCTTTGCAAAACTTGTGCAATCCGTTTCCGTATGTTATATGCTTTCCAAAAAGCAAAAAGTTATCAAAATCTGACGACTGAAAGCGGGTCAAAACAAAGATTTAGTTTGTTAAGGAAAAAAAGTTATTCAGGCAATGTGCCTGAGCACCTAGTTTTAGACCTAAAGGGAGGGTAATTGGTATTTAGGAAAAGTCAGAAAAAAAATGTGGTTCTCAAGAGTGCAAAATTAAGATCAAGAGCTTCGAGAATATCGAAATTAATTTTGTATGATCATCGTCCAATTTGATCATTCTTAAACTAATATATTTAATTTAGGACATTTCTTTTAATTATTTCATATTTCCCCACATAATATAAAACATCACTTTTCATAGTTGCATACTTTTTATTTTAATCAGTTCACCTTTTGATTGTTAATACAACAGCCTAGCTTACATCTCTGTATCTAAAGTATCTAAAGTTGCAAGCAGCCTTGAGAATATCAAGGATTTTAATATTCAAATATTCATTTTTTATACTAAAGACAATATAGGATCTTTGATAATTATAAATTAATATATGGGACTGTACGCGTAATTTCAAGGGACCCTCCATGCAAAGATGTAAATGTCCGATTGTTAACCGCCCCTTAAATACTTTGTCTGATTAAGTATGAAGTAGATTTCAATGTTTATAATTTTAAAAACTGATTAGTTTCAAGTGTGGTGTCTCTACACAACTAACTTGCGCATTTCTATTGTAGTTAAAACTACATAGGAATTATAAGAATTATACACGTTAAAACCTAAAAACGACAATATCTTAAAATTAATCTTTTAATTAAGGATTGCTTGTCTGCTCTCCGCGGAAAAGGAATCCCTGGATCCTGCTGGGAGTGAAGCTGCAAAGTTCAGGTAAACATTAATCCAGGCATTATAGGAGACCCTAGGAAGTATGAACTATATACTATCCAGGAATATAGGAGCTCCAAGAACTTTAAGAAGTCCAGGAATTGCAGGAACTCCTAGAATTTTAGGAATTCCAGGAACTCTAACAATTTCAGGAATTCTAGGAATTCCAAGAACTCAAGGAATTCCAGGAACGCTAACAATTTCAAGAATTTCAGGAACTCAAAAGAAATCCAAAAATTTCAGGAACTTTAACAATTTCTGGAATTCCAGGAATTCCAAAAAATCCCGAATTCCAGAAATACTAGGAACTACTAAATATTTGTTATCTCTATTTCGGATAAATACGTACCTTTAAAAACCTTTTTTTAAATTGGAATTCATTTTTTAACGTTTTATTAAAATTATTTTAGTAAACATTAACAAAAAACATTATAAAATTAACATTTTACTAATTAATTGGCATGTGACCGTGTGAAAGAGTTTTGTGTAAGTTCAATACTTTATTCAATAAAAAGCCTAGTCACCTAATTGAAAATATTTAGACCTTGTGAAACTTAATGAAATGATATGAATTATATAAAATGTATGATATTAAGGCTATGGGTGAAAAGTAAAGGATTACAGCTGGCTCCCTCAACAAACAAGGAATACTGTCAAAAACTTTTATTTATTTATCTTCTATAAAATATTAAGCATAATCATAATTCATCAAATTTTAAAAACTCTCCATTGCCATAGTAAATTAAGCCTCGGTTAAAAAATATATCTTTTGACCTTTTTTGTAATTTTTTTTAATTAAATAAAGACAATTGTTCAACAAATAATCATATGTTTCAACTTTTCAAAATGAATATAAAAGAACAACACAATACATACAACTATGAATTCTGCGATACCAAATATGGTTTATATCAATTCAGTTCTTTTCTCTGAAAAAAATGTTAAAGATTGTGTTGAATCTGTGTTTGACTGACTAGTATGTGTAGGATGAAGCTGAGAATGAGAATTCTGAACCTTTACTGATAGTTCCCTCCGGGACGGATAAGGTAAGGAGAACCTGGCTTTAAACTTTATATTTAGATACACAGATACACAGATACACAGATACACAGATACACAGATACACAGATACACAGATACACAGATACACAGATACAGAGATACACAGATACACAGATACACAGGTACACAAATACACAGATACACAGATGCACAGATATACATATACACAGATACACAGATACTCAGATACACAGATACACAGATACACAGATACACAAATACACAGATACATAATTACACAGATGCATATATAGATTAATTAAATTAGATTAAAAACTATTTTAATTCTTGATATAAAGATAAATTTCAGATTTTTTTTTCCTAACAAAACAACGATTTTTCTATTCATGGTAAAGATTTAAAGATAAAAACGGTTTTTATAACAAGGAAGTTGAGATGATTGCTATTTATGGTAAAGAGATAAAGATAAAAACGGTTTTTATAACAAGGAAGTTGAGATGATTGCTATTTATGGTAAAGAGATAAAGATAAAAACGGTTTTTATAACAAGGAAGTTGAGATGATTGCTATTTATGGTAAAGAGATAAAGATAAAAACGGTTTTTATAACAAGGAAGTTGAGATGATTGCTATTTATGGTAAAGAGATAAAGATAAAAACGGTTTTTATAACAAGGAAGTTGAGATGATTGCTATTTATGGTAAAGAGATAAAGATAAAAACGGTTTTTATAACAAGGAAGTTGAGATGATTGCTATTTATGGTAAAGAGATAAAGATAAAAACGGTTTTTATAACAAGGAAGTTGAGATGATTGCTATTTATGGTAAAGAGATAAAGATAAAAACGGTTTTTATAACAAGGAAGTTGAGATGATTGCTATTCATGGTAAAGATTTAAAGATAAAAACGGTTTTTATAACAAGGAAGTTGAGATGATTGCTATTTATGGTAAAGAGATAAAGATAAAAACGGTTTTTATAACAAGGAAGTTGAGATGATTGCTATTTATGGTAAAGAGATTAAGATAAAAACGGTTTTTATAACAAGGAAGTTGAGATGATTGCTATTTATGGTAAAGAGATAGAGATAAAAACGGTTTTTATAACAAGGAAGTTGAGACGATTGCTATTTATTGTAAAGAGATAAAGATTAAGATCTGTTATTCAAAAAAAGAGAAAGTTGATTTATACATATTACCAATAAAGAAAAAGGATGGGCTCTATTGCCTACAAAGATATAATAATAATAAAAAGCGTTTTCCTGACATAGATATAACCATTTAGATTATTCCTTGAAACATAAAAGGATAACAATCAATTTTATTTTTCAAACAGAAACAAAAAAATAATGTTTTATTTCTGATAAAAACTTCCACTTTCTGATGGAAAAAATTGGTTAAGATACTGTTTCAATTCCTCCTCATAACAACTTGTTTAGAATAATGTTCTAATTACTTAAAAACTCGATTAATATATTTTGTTCCAATTCCTGATAAAAACTTGGTTAAGATATGTTCCATGTCAATTCCTTACAAAAAATTGGTTAGAGTAATTTTTAATTCCTTGTGAAAAATAACTTCTGATGCTTGACTTCAAAGACTTGAAATTTCTGTTTGAAATCTGTTTTGATAAGTTTTCTGTGATAACTCTTTGACGCATATTTGATTTAGCATATTCTTTCTACAGGATTACTCACAATATATAAGACTGTAAAGACGACATTTAAATCTTATAAAATATGACCCTTGTAGGGTAAATTAAGTCTTCTGCCCTGAATATTGTCTTTTAACGGCTTATTGACATGGCATCGATAGAAACCGGTTAAAGGTTGGAGAGAATCCTAAAAACAAGGATATAGCCCGTATGAACTCTGTCTTAAATCTTTAGACGTATGGAAAAATATACATTTTTTATATACTTCTTTAATATGTAAATATATTAGAATCCCTAAATATTCAAAGATTATTGACTATTTTAATTTTTTTGCTATAGTTCACAAAATTCTCTTATTTTCTGAATTTCTGGTGATTATGGCAAAAATTGTTTCAACATTTAAAAACCAGCCATTTCATTACAGTTAAATGTGTATCTAGTTGAAAACAAAAGGTCCAAATATGTGGTCGTTTATCATTTTCTTAATAACTAATTCAGAATTAGAGAAAAGAACATTTTGTCAGAAAGGCCCTCAATTAGTAATAGGACATACCTTGGGTTGTTTTTGCATATTTTTTCTCATGGTCAAAGTTTGGCATGGTATAAAAAAGGCTAAAGTTGAGAATAAATAAATTTGAAATATTTAAAACTTTTTAGATTGATGTGAATCTTTTAAAACTCCAAAAACCCTCAAAAAGGAATCTTAAGTTACCTATTTCCAATCACTATCCTTATTCCTTTCCACAGTGCATTTCAAAAATAAGTTTTCGTACTTGACAGAAACTGATGATAATAATAAATGAAATTGTTTCATGTTTCCTAATATAAATATTTCACTTCATGACATCCCATATATATAAATTATATTGTTGCATTGAATTTTAAGCAAGATCCTCCAACACAGCAATTTATACTTTGAGCCTTAAACATGATTATATAAGAGTTGGCTTATCAATGCATATAATCAGAGATAAATATATATCTATCTATTTAATAAAGCTCTTTACTTAATATATATTTATAAGCAGATATATAAGTATATATGTATATATATATATATATATGTGCGATATAGCTGGCCAAAGGGCAGGACCAAATTGGCCAAACTTTTTTTTTCAGGGAACCCAATGGGGTAACATATAAGCAATTTTTGTTTGGTTGGACAATTTTGAAATTCCAAGGGCAAAGCTTGGCACAGCTAAAGTCGTGATTTAATACCAAGCGCGGGTAAAAGGACTAAATATGAATAATAATATAAACATGGTGACGCCGGGTTCTGCAACATAATGATTGGAAGAAAATTTTCAAAATTCATTTTGATATGAGTATTTGGAAAAATTCAGATCGATTTTTCCGTCAGAACTTACATATTTCAGTTATTAAGTCCAACTTAGTCTTCGGGCAATTTGTCTCAATCAAATGGGCCAAATCAGTTCTTTACGGTTGGAATATATATACAAATTAGATTGTTTTGAATGAAAGCCAGTGTCTATATAAAGTAAAAATACTATACTTTAAGGAACCAAAACCAGCTTATTTCGTGATGGTTCATAAGTATACAAGACATTAGACATGCTACAGAGGGGTTCATAATTACACAAGACATTAATACATGATACAGAGGGGTTCAAAACAAATTAACTTATTTTTCAGACATTTTTAAAAGTAATGTATTGAAATAATCATTCATGAGTGTTTATCTTAGTAAATATTAAACTAAATAACATTTTTTTAAACATGTATATTTGTAAACATGTAACAGCTTATTTTTATACGCAATTTTTAGTAACTCTTCATTTAAAGATCGCCATATGAACAGTTTTCAAATTTGCTCCTTAAAGGGACCGTATTAGTAATTCAAAGGAACCCCCCTATTTAAAAGGGGCATGTTCGATTTACAACAGAACCCATGAAATCTTGTCTGATTTATTATATATGAAGATCTTGTCGTTTTTCCAGCTCGAAAAATGTTTGATTCTGATAACTTCTCCCTTATATCTGTATCAAGAAATGCTTGAGAAACGTTTGTGAAAAAACCTCAAATAAAAATATTCAGTTTTCAAAAAATAAAACATGGATGTCTTGTTCATACCAGATATGGTAAAAGGGAGTGACTGACTAGATAAACCGAGAGTGCAGCATTATAAAGAAAAATTTTAGGATTCAGTTGACAACAATGAGACATTTTTACGGTGTACAATTTCTAGTTCTTGCTTACAAATTAATGTATTTACATGTATTTGTTTTTTAAATTTCACCAAAATAGGTGGTCGGCAAAAAAACGTTTTTTCAATTGTTTGATAACTCAATCAAATCGATATTGAATGCTCTGTCGTTTGAAAATATGAATCAGCTCTGTCGTTTGAAAATATGAATCATTGAAAAACTGAACTGAATAAAATTATTTACTTTCAATAATAAAACTTAAGATTATTTTCTCTACATGTTTCTGAACAATAAGTTGGTTAATAGTAAAATTGTTGTTACATTTTTTGTCAGGGTTAATAAATAATTGTAAAAACCAAAGACGTATAGAATATTACAAAGCTCTTTGGTAAAAACATTTATGCTCTTGCTTAGAAATTATACACCACAAAAATGTCTCACTGTTATCAAATGAATCCTTAATTTGTTTTCTACAAAACTACACTTTTGGATCATTTATGTTACCAGCTGCTCTCTCCCTTTAACATCCCTTTAAACATTTCCTTTTATTCATATATCCGGACTCTATACACTAACTACCATCTACCCTCCCACTAAACACCTTTAATACTCCTCTAACGGGACAATTCTAGTCATATTAGAACATTAATACAGGGCGTACAACAAATACAGAGTGTTCACAGTGTATATCAATACAAGGAGAACAATGAATAGAAGTGAGTGCAATGGATACAGAAGGGTACAATGAATACAGGAAGAACAATAAATGCAGGAATTACATTGAATACAGATCAAAATTACATATTTTTGGCCCTGCAACGTGGAAAGTCTCAGATTGCATTAAACACTTTATTTTGTGCATAAAGCAAGAAACGATACTTGTCTCAAGTTCCTCCTATGTCCAGCAATACCATGCTCTCCAGGGGTACCTTGAGAGCACTCAAGATATACTCGACATGAAATATTATCTGCAGAATCCTCTTTACCTTTATATAAGTGCATTTCTCAGATATGTTCAAGAGTTTAAGATTCAACCAAATCCATTTAACTTCAAGATATTTCGGATTCTATATTTTCCTAGCTGTACAGTACAGTACAGTACAGTACAGTACAGTACAGTACAGTACAGTACAGTACAGTACAGTACAGTACAGTACAGTACAGTACAGAACAGTGAAGTACAGTACAGTACAGTACTGTACTGTA